TTTTTTTTTTCTCTTTTCCTATACCATCCACTAAGCCAAAACTTGTTCTCCAAAAATAAGTTTAAATTCGCCACTTAGCATCTCCAAGTATACAGATTACATTATTCGTTACTTCAACAATTTCATTGACCTCTTCACTTCCAAAATATATGAACTTTTAGACGTAATGTCATCTACAACGTTCTTCTTCGCCTTAATTTATGCACTAAACAAAATATTTCGGATGCTCAAGGGCTAAAAGATAGGTGAATCTAATAGTCCAAATAATAATTTTCTCTCCTTTCTTTTTGGTCAAACGGAAATTCATTTAGATTTAGACTCCATTACACGAGGAGGATACAAGGTTCTCTCCATCTTTGTCTTCTTCTCCTTCACCTCCGTTGATTCACCCATTAAAGTACTCCTATAAATGATTTATGTTAACAGAATTTCAGACTCATGTTTTTGATGGATAATCATGAAATCACATTTTCGGCCAAATTTCATGGGCGAAAGAGCTCTTTTTGCTAGAGAGCCATATAAAAAACTAAAATTGGCACAAAAAAAAACGAATATGTGGAGACAAACCGTTAATAAATGTGAATTTTGCGTGTAATTTATACAATTAGCGTGATATCATGTAAAATAACATGATACTGTTTGTTAATAAGAAGAAACTCTAGTACATGATATTTGTTATTAATTCATTCTTTTATCAGAATAAGAAAAAACATTAACAGCTATCACAATAAGAAGAAACATTAACAGCCTAAAACCGACAAATTGTTCAACTAATTAGTTGGACTTACTTATATGAGCATCAAAAATAAATATGTAAGGAATATCGATTAGTTCGAAGAGAACATCATTCTCTTTTGTCACCGGAGATGTCTGGTTGTTATCGCCGTTAAACTTCATTTCGCAACTTCTCGGAACAATTCTTGCATCACTAATGCTATCACGGGCTTTACGGTAATCCCGCAATTTGATACTCTAAACTTTTGGTTAGCGAGTCATTGCCCTGAGGATAACGCTTAAAACATTCACGCAACAACTTCTCACTCAACCTACTCTTATATTTTCTCTCCTTCAAAATCTTCTCCACTTTCACGTTTGTCATGTTCGTTATAGCGTTTTTTATTGTTATCACGATCAACTCATCGATGTTTCCCACTTTTTGACTCTCGGGATTTTCTTTGATAGATGTGATGCATAAGTTGTAAAAATGTGGTTCTTCAAGTCTTGAAGCTTCCTTGCAAGAATCTCGAATGAGAGTATCTACCACTTTGTTGGCCGCGAAACCATTGAAGAGAAGAAAGAATACAACATGGTAAATTAAGAAATTCATTGTTTTTTTTTGTTTGGAAAGTCCAACACTAGACATAATAGATTGAAGAACTATTGTACCTTGTGATCCAATTTATATTCAAACACATGCTTTATTTAGATGGCTCATGTCACGCCATTACAAAAAAAAAAAGGTGCATAACATCATTTATTTATTTTGTTTGTTTAAYTCAATTATAAATGATGTAAATATATTTTTCATCATTTATGTAAGC